CCTGACATATAATATGTACAAGACATCCAGGCAAAAATTGCAGTAATCAAGAATATAGGGTCTAGAGCCAGACTGCCTATATTCAAATCTCACCTCCAACACACAAAAAATTACATGGCTTTAAGCAAGTTACTTAATCTATATCTATCTATCTATATATAATTATACACACATTAGTTTTCTCATTATAAAACTCAATCAATAGTACAATCTACTTAAGAGATTTTATGAAGTTTAAAAGAGTTACTATATGTAAAATACTTTAAAAAGTTGTTAGTAATACAATAATATATTATTAGTTTTAAATCAAATTTAAAAATCAAGCGCAGATAAAACTGATCAATAAAAATGCTGAAGCATAACCATTTTTTCCTCAATGCTTCTACCAGGTTAGAACACCCAATCATAGAAAGTTATTAAGTATTAACAACCAAGCTCCTTTTATTGGGGTCAATTATTAGCTGGCTTTGATTTCAAAAATAATTCAGAAATACAAAAATCTAGCAATTTTTTGAATCATCATATTTTAGCTTTGTAAATCCATTATCAACCATATTGTCGAAACTACACAATAATGTGCCTTTTTTAAAATCACTATATTTCACGACAATGTCCTTTTTATTACCATATTTCACACACAGTCAATTCCACTTACATTTACTGCAGATAAGTCAATTGTATCCAATTCACAAAGAGTGCAGCCATTATCCTGTGTCCATGCATTAGGTACATAGTTTCCAAAATAATTCAGAAGAATCTGGTAAAAGAAGAAAAACAGTATTAATAAAACTAACCCTCTCCTCTCATTGTACTTTCATTCCATAAACATGTAACTGCAACATTTCTTTAATAATTCTACTAATCTTTATCACTTAGAGGTACACAATGAACAATGTTCCCTCCAGACTATGAATCATAAAGCAGGTCAAACTTTGTCGAGAAACGTCAAAAAAAGTGCATTAAAAGTCATAAAGGTCATTTTATTTCATTATATTATATAAGGAATAATATCAGAAGAGAGATGCAATTAGAGAAATATGTCAAACAACTAATCACACAGTTTTAATTGGGCTAATGAGACATTAGCAAAACAACATAAATAAGAGGAGTCATGTGAATAGTAACCTAGTAATAAGATAAATATGTTTAAAGGCTCAGCATAGATACCTACAGTGAATGAGGCAGTGGCAACATGACCTCTTACCAACAACCATCACCACATGAAACAAATATTGTATAAACTTTACTTATCAAAAGGCACTAAACTATGCTACTTACTATAAACTAGGCTTCTGGACAGTGATTCAGAGACACTTAATTTCAGGAAAGAAAGCTTGCAGATTAAAACAGATATAGAACAAGCTCCTAATTACAGTCACCCCACAAATTCTATTAACAACAAATGAAAGTAAAATATTGCTTCGCCACCCACCTCTTTCAGATCTCTCAGAGCATCTCTTTTGTAACTCGCCTCCCCCTTTCCTTAAGCATCTATTGGTACTCATTTTATCTGTAAAACCTGTGTCCTTGTGTGTGTGTTTTGGATGGGGAAGAGGGTGTGGGAAGAGCAATGGAGAAAAGAGATAAACATACTAAGATACCTTCTTTGCTCTAGAACAAATCTTAAATATCCCTAGATTTGAACATCTTAGGGAAAATTCTGCCAATTTACTTTGAAAAAATTACTACAGTTTCTACTTCACTATTAATACCTGTAGTGATATGAACTTTTTTAGTTGTATTTTTTATTATTTCTTTTCACAAACTATTTCACCTCAAAACAGTGAAGCTGTAGCAAACTAGCTTTGGTTGTGACTATTTAACTTTTAAAAGGAAGTACCTAAAATCCTTATTATGCTTATGTAATCATTAAGTTTCAACTGGAAAGGTGAGATAAACTCAAAAGAAAAAGTTGTCTATTAATAAATATGATGATCAAAAATGTATAGAAGCACCAAGTTAACTTTTCTAGCTTCCTAAGACCCTAAAAAAGATCTTATGGTATAGAATAATTGAGATAATTAGTCCTGCACCATTTAACCAAATTCCTCCAAATCATTTGAGCTTCCATCCAAATATTTCTATTGTACTGAAACTGAGAAATGCTGTGGAAACAAGTACGGTATTAATTACAACGGAAAAATCTTTGGGTCACACAGATATTGCATACATAGTCACATTCAATCTGTACAGCACACAGAAGACATGGACAACAACCATTCATTTTTCTTCTGAAGTACATAATTCAGGAAATTACAAGACCAGAAATATGTTTATGGCATTCATTACGGCATTTCAAGAGTCAATGTGGTCATTTTAATGTGCCTCTAAAATAAAAACAAAAAATTTTACTGTTGCCAAATTAGAAATGCAAATATTAATTATTCATGTTCTATTCAAAATTATGATTTTGAAGGAAGAAAATAAAGCAATTCAAGTGCAAATGGATCCTTCAGAATATTTGCAAGAGTTTTTTTTTTGCTTTTTTTTTGTTTTTTTTTTCCCCCCAAGGCTAGTGGGAAACATAGTTTTGTCTACAATATCTTGGAAAAGAATTTTTTAAAAAAAGGAAAAAAAAAAAAAACCGAATAGTTGGCCATATCTAAAATTCCTATCTATATAAAAGACTGGTACTTCTCTCATCTCATAAAAAAAAATAAATACTTATTTCATGAATTATTGATCAGTTATTAGACAATCAATGTGAATTTGAAAATGACCAATATTTTGAAAAGGTTAGAGCATAAAAGGCATTCATTTTCAGTCTCAAAATTAAAATTTTATTTTGTAACTTTTCTGCTTTCTACTTTTTACCTCAATTCATTTTCATAGATAATAAAAATATTTTTTAAACCATTACTTTTGACTAGAAACTTCCCTCTTTTGGGTTTTTCATCACATAGGCAGAGGTTATTCACTACCCTAGACCTCCATTTACAGCTGTTTTCTTCATTAAAACCTGCAGACATTTATGCTGGCAGCTTTAAAAGTACAGAAAACTGTTTATGTATTTAGGCTGTTCCAGGCAGTCCCCAGCTACTAAGTGGCAGTACTTTTCTGATCCTTCTTTCACAATATCAAAATGTTTTAGTATGATGTCATTTCACTGGCAAAGAAACTTTTCCAACCACTTCCTTTTTTTCTAAATCATCCAATTATTCAAGGTCATAGTAACCCAAGCATTGTGATTTTCATGCAAAAAAATTAAGGTAGTTATTTTTATTACAAATCAGTTTCAGAAAGGACTTGTTTTCATGTGCAAATTAGGTGATTTGATCTTGTTCTGTTAAACTTCTGTTTGTATAAAAATACTATCACTTTCCTAATGATTACCTTAACATGTATATTATCTGACATTTAAAAGAAAAGATTGAGTATTAAAATAAACATCTTAGGAGAATGTGAGATCTTGGCCCCCAGCATACTTCTTCAGTTTGGCTCAAATAAATTCTTACAAAACTTCTCAAAAAAAAAAAAAAAAATCTTATGGTGTGTTACTAACAGTAAATGAGCATCAAAAATAAAAAGTAAAGCTTTAAACCATAAGTCAGTTTCTATCTAAAAACTGAGTTACATTAGATTTTATCTAAACAAATATGAAAATGACATAGAATAAAAAAACATTTCAAATAAAATGCTAATTAAAAACACAAATTGTTTATAAAACATTTATGAAAACAAATGAAAAATATGAATGCTCATAGATGTATACTGAAAAGACATAAAACTGAAAGTAGCTATGAATGAAAACTATATGGGAGGGTAATGGGATTATAAGGGATTTTAAAAATGATTTACAAAATTGTTCTTCCTAATAATAGCATGAGATTTAGAGAAAGTAATTAAGAAATAAACTCATTTTTATATAGTTTGGTCTATAAACACACTATAAACAATTTATCATTTACAATATCTACAGTAGCCCCCCTTTCCCACGGTTTAACTCTTTGAGGTTTCAGTTATACACGGTCAATCTCGATCCAAAAATAATAAATGAAAAATTCCAGAAATAAACTACTCATAAGTTTTAAATTGTGCATTGTTCTGAGTAGCATGGTGAACTCTCGAGTCATCCCACTCCTTCCCACCCCTTCGTACAAGTATCCACACTATATACACTCCCTACCCATTTGGTCACTTAGTCACTTAGTAGCCTTCTCAGTTACCAGATCAACTGTCATGGTATCACAGTGCTTGTGCTCAAGTAACCCTATTTTACTTAATAATGGCCCCAAAGTGAAAGAGTAGTGATGCTGGCAATTTAGATATGCCAAAGAGAAGCTGCAAAATGCTTTTTTTTTTAAGTAAAAAGGTATGTATGTGTAGGAAAAAACATAGTGTGTATAGGGTTCTGTACTATCCATAATTTCAGGCAACCACTAGGAGTCTTGGAACATATACCCCGCAAATAAGGGGGGACTACTGTATTTTTAAATGAAAAAATGGCTTAAATATTTAGTTCAACGTTATGGCACAAAAACCACTGACATTATACTCATTCTATATTAAATGAAATAATAAGTAAAATTAACTCATAAAAACTCTTATACAAATTCTTTCACCTTTTATGATGGTTTAAAATAAAGTTTCTATCTAAAGAGCAATCTGCTTTCTTTCCCTGTTAGCCTGGACACAGGGGAAAATGTGATATATTCATGTACCTCTATTTAACATAATATTATTAAATAAAGTATTAGCATTAGTGTAATGTTTATTTATATAAGCTTTTCTCAATTTTTATATTATACCAAATATAACTTTATAATAAAAAAACTTACTTCATTTTTTGACAGAAAGTGTTAGCCTAAACCGAATATTTCCTAGAAGACTTAAAATTTCTTAGTATACACAGGTCTTTCTAAATGATCAAGGATTAGTGCTCCTTTTCTTGTGAGAAGTCCTTTAGTAACTTTGTAAAACTCTAATCAGATTATCCTGGGAATTCAGAATGAATTGGTAATCACATTAAAATCACTGAGCATCAAGTCTTACCCACAATAGCTAAATTCTCAGGACCAAGTTCCCTCTTTAAAGTCATTTAAATTTTATTAAAATATTACATTACCAAAAAGGAACAGAATACTAGTTTTAGCAGATGTCAGTTTATATAAATCCTGCCTAACCAAGGTATGACAGAGAGCTAAAAGAGAAACTGTGAACACATACAAATGCGCTCGTGCACGCATGCGCGCGCGCGCGCACACACACACACACACACACACACACACACTTCGAAAGGGCTTCGAAGACAAAATTTACCCATTTATCAAACTTGCCTAAGGACAGTTATAGTGACCCAAAGCAATTTTATGACTTTTTTGTCTTGCCAGGAAAAAAAAAAAAAAAAACTGTCTCAGTACTCTCAAGAATAATGCTAGAATATTATATTGTTTAGACTCTGACATTCAAATTCCATTTATTGAAAGGCTAATATAGGCTACGCATGGGCTGGACCCTGCAGAAAGGAAAAAGGAACGGGATAGATATGATTGCTCTAATTCCCAGGCCAAAGGCCCAGTGTCTAAGAGAAGCCAAAGTAGGTAAATCCCACTCCTTTCCAGTGTGTGATATGTGCTGTTGTGGATGAAGCTCCAGACATTATAAAGCATACAGAGGAGTAAAGACCTACACTGACACCTAAAAGATGAACAGGACAGAGTAGGTGGGTATAGCAAGTGGAAATTAGGGGCAGAGGATTCCAGAATGAGTGAAATGCATGTACAGAAGACTTGAGAGGAAACATGAAACATTCAAAGTAATTCAGTATGGCAGTAGTGGAAGAAAAAAATGATTATGAAAAATGTGTGTGTGGATATTTGTAGTGTCAGGAATTGGGGAGTAGATGGAATGGTAGACAGGTGACCACTAAAGCAGGAGTAAAGTTTAAAAAGAGCCTTATAAATCAACTTGAGAATCTGGAACTTCATACCTAAATCCATAAAGGGCATTACACAGGTGAGTAATGCGACTGGGTTTCTGCTTCAGCATAATACTCTAGTTTCAGTCTACTGGTGGGTGATTCCTACTGGTGGAAAGTTGCAGGTGACCTGAACTAAAAATGTTGCTATTGGCACTGAGAAAATTAGATAAATCACCATACACCGTAGTTAGAATAGCTCTTGGACTGGGAGTGGGAAGCACCTAGAGCCAAAATAAGACACAGGTTCTGGTTAACCGACTGGGTGGAAAGAGGAAGAGCTGAAGGTCTTGAGCTCTGAGTCTTATAAGACACACAAGTAAATCTACCAATTGGGTATTCAGACCTGGAGCTCAAGAAAAGATTCAGGATTTAAAGCAAGAATTTGAAAATCATCAGCATGAAGAGAAGATTTGCTGGTGCAGGAATGAAGCAAATTATCCAAGAATTTGTGTAGAAGAGAAAAGGAAGATGTCTCAGATAGATCGATACCTGTGGAACATATTAACTGAAACAGTATAAGAAGAGGATCACCCCATCGACCTCTGACTCCCCTCCACCACACAATGTTAAAATTTTTAAAAATGTATTAAAAAAGAAAAAGAGAAATTGATGATGAAAAGGCCAGAAAATTAATAGACAAACCAGCAGAGCATCAAGGAAACAAAAGAAAAGACTATTTTGAGTAGGAACAAATAGGATCAACATTGTCAAAAGTAAAAATGAGGGCTGACAAGTGTTTATTATTCAACAGAGATGTCACAACAGACCTTGACAGGAGCATTCCTAGTATGGCAGGAAGGAGAATAGTGGTGGCAGTGAGTTATCTCTAAAGAACTGTGGCTATGAAGGGGAGGAAAAAAGACAGGCAGGCTGGAAGGCGATGTGGATTAAGGAGGATGTTTTAGTTCGTGTTGGCTAAGTTTTGTTTTGTTTAGAGGATGGGAAAGACTTGAAGGTCTTTAAAATGCTGATGGGAAAGAGAACAGAACTGGAAAAATTGATACAAGATAGAGAAAGGAGAGTACAAGGGAAAAGGGCTTTGTAGGAGGGCTGGAATGGGATGAAAAGGAAGGCAGGATTAACTAGAGAAGGGGAATCTACTTTTTCCATTTTGGTAGAGAAGCTGACAACATGGGCTTTCCCTTGAATTTCTTCTGATGCATAGAGCTTTTATTGGAATTCTGACTACTCACTCCTCTGAAACAACAGACCACATCTCCTCATCTTCTCTTTCCACAATGCCAATCTATTCATTTCTTTTCTACATACTTATGACTAAACTGGCCAACACAGTATCTCAGAACATTGTTTTAAGAATGTGTGTGCATATGTGTGTGTATACCTATATATGTGTGTGTGTATATATACATATATATATGTTTAAGCATATATATAATATATATGTAATTTGTGTTCCATTTTAATTGGATACCAGCAATACAAACTTTACAAACTTATCTATAAATCTGAAGTCAATAACATTTTCAGCAAGCTCAAACATATATATATTTGAAAAGCATCCAAAATTTCATTAGTCAAATTATGTGTTTGTCAGCTATAACCCAAGTAGAAAATAAGTGCAAGAGAAAGCTTTCTGTCTATATAGTTACACTTTAATCTTAGCAGAGTTGTTAATTTAGAAAATAGTGACTCAGATGAAACAATGATCCCTTAATGACCTTAATAATTCCTACTCAGAGAAGACCCTTCAGTGGTCCCCAACTTTTTTGGTACCAGAGACCAGTCCTCCTATGAGAATCTAATGCCTAATGATCTGAGGTGGAGCTGAGGCGGTGATGCTAGAGCTGGGGAGCAGCTGCAAATACAGATGAAGCTTCACTTGCTCTCCTGCTGCTCACCTCCTGTTGTGCAGTCCAGTTCCTAACAGGCCATGGACTGCTACCAGTCCATGGCCTGGGAGTTGGGGACCACTGCCCTATATGAAGGAAATGCACTCAAATTGGCTGTTAGTATTAAACATTAAAGTGAAATATTACAAATAGAATGAAAAGTTAACACTGCTGAGGAAAAATCATCAGTTTGATTAATCTGAAAGAAACCAAATATACTGTGTAAGAGATAAAGCTAGTAAATTGTTGGCATCAAAATAAAACTGCTTAAAGATATTAAAAGAAGATATTATACATATTGCTCCCTAGTCTATCTCCAAGAGATAAGAAAACAGGGAAAAGTCACCATGACTCACCTTGGTGGGTCCATTTCCATTAATTGCCACTGGTAATGTTTCATAAAACACATTCTTAGCTCTGGCTTTGCCATTTTCAAATTTCAAAACAACTTCATCTTAATTAAAAGGAAAAACAGGTTTTAGTAATTTAAAATGTGAGTGTATTCATATATATAAATATATATATGTATACATCAATCTATCTTGTTGTTATAAAATTTCTCACATGCTAATTCATGTGCTACATATAACACTTTTATAAACTTCACCTCCTCCAAGTCAGCAGATACCCAAATGAAGGACAACAATGACACAGATACAGGTTCTGAGCACTTCATTTACTCCAACCTGGTACCAGCAAACTGAGATGCTAAGAAATTGAGGAGTCTGGCAGAAGGAAAGCATATTTGCAATCCTGCCTCTGCCTCTTGATAGTGAAGTGATCCTAGACAAGTTAAATTATTGTCTCAATTTATTCATTTGTAAAATGGGATCCTTGCCTGCCTTTCAGGTTACTGTGAAGATAATAATATGTGTATGGCATATAGAACACTGCCAGGCATAATAAGCAAGGTTTCTACAACTGGCCACCATTAATAGTATATTGTTCTTGTAAATCAGACCTAATGCAAATTCCAGGAATACCAAAGACAGATGGGAACAGAAACTGTTTTTGTTTGTTTTGTTTTCAGGTTTCTTCCCTTACATTTCCTTAGCACTCCAAATTAAATGCTTTCAATTCTGAGAATCTTGTTAGTGTATGAACTGCCTTGAAGAACTGTACTAAAGTGCAATGTATTTTTAATTTTTAAAGTATAATGCATTAACAAATTAATGCATTTTAATTTTAGTGTATTGGTTAATTTCAATGCATTAATGCATTTTATCAAGATATCTATTTAGAAAAACACACACAGGCACACATGCATTTAAGCACATGCACAGACACACACACACACACACACACATTCCACAGAATACATGCCTAGTTACCAGTTACCTTTCAGCTAGGTAGGTTAAAATACTCTAATACTCTAACATTCCTGAGTAATTCATAATATAGAGAACTTATAATAAACTATGTCTAATAATAAGGTATAATTAAATAAAAATATGTCGAGTCTCCAGATACTAAATTCCAAGTTAACAAAGACCAGAAGCTTATCTTTTTTGCAGTGATATTAGGAAATGCTTTTAACTGAATGTATTTAACTATATCAAGCTAACCTCAAGTCTGATGTTTTTTAAAAGTTCTAATATCTACACAGTAAATCTTAATCATAGGTCCAAAATGGATACAGCAAAGGATAGATAGTGAAAAAACAGCTGTCCATTTGTACACATGAGCAATCCAGTATTTAGGAAGCATACCTACAGCTCCATTTAAGGCCTGGAAAATTTTGCATTTGTGATCCAATGTGATATTAATAGCTTCCTAAAATGAGAATAGAGAGAATATTGAAATGACAACAAAAACAGCAAACAATATCATGTTAATGTAGTTTGTTCTTTTGGAGAATTTAAAGATCCTATATATAAATTATTCCAATAATATTCTTCAGAAAAACAGAAAGACTAATTTCATAGTTGATTAAATTGGAGGATAAAGGGTCTGGGAAAGCATTCATGCTGTTCTCCAAATATTTCCACTTCTCCACCTTCTAATTCTAACTAGTGAATTGTTAGCAGAAGTAAAACGAATGACTTCCACTGTGGAGATGTCATTACCAGTTGGAGACTCTCAGTGTGCTATCTCTGTGGCATGTGAACCAGCAAGGTTTGAGATGGCTGCTCCATCAGCCAAAGTCCCCAAGTGACTACAACACACAGAAACCCCCTGATGTCCTATAATAGACATTTAGCAGGAGAAACCACTTCTATTGTGTTAAGCTGTTGAAGCTGAGTTTATTATTCTAGCATAAACTGCCTGACTGCTATACTAAGTAATTAATCAACCTAATCATAAAGATTGTAACTGCACACAACTTCATTTCTTTAATATAGCTTTTTCTTCTGAGTCAAGCTGGTTTTGCCCAGATAATGGCATTGTGACTCACTTGTCTCTTTCCACCCTCATCCTCGGTATGCCTGCTCCTTTAATCAGTAAGCCTTAGGACATCAAATTAACTAAGCCTCAGATCTATCATATAGGACAATAGGTTTTGGTTGGACTTAAGACTAAAGATAACATCTTGGTTTTAGATATGTTTTAGCCCCAGGCTCATCAAGGCAGATCAACTCTGCTAGCCACAGGACCACACAGGATAGCATCATGGCTGATTCCAGAACCAGACACAATGATCGATTACCTCATCCTCCTCTAATTATCCAATCAGTAGCATCTAAGACCTCAATTCCCTTAGTTTCCATGACAACTGATTTTTCCATATATAATCTGTACTCCCAAGTCACCCAGGGAGCCGGGCCTTTGAGCAATAGCTCGCCTGTGTCTCTGGGACTTGCAACTTTCTAATAAACCCTACTTTTTTGCTGCAAAACCTGTATGTATCTGATTGACTTAGACACACCCAGGCAGATGGACCCCTTTTGTTTGGGTGACAAGATTAATCTGCTTTACAAACCTTATGATTCTCAATGCACCAGTTTTTCAGCTACATTGATCTGTCATAATATTATTCCTAAAATTGTCTGCATGCTGTTTTGGGTTGAATGTTCATGTCCCCTCAAGATTCATGTGTTGAAGCTCTAACCTCCAATGTGATGGTATTTTTAGTTGGGGCCATTGGTGTGCTCTCTGGCTCCTGCTCGCTCACTCCCACTGGCTTTCTCTCGCTCCATGATATGATGACACAGAAAAAAGGCAGCTGTCCCCAAGCCAGAAAGAGGTCTCACCAAAAACTGCCCATGATGGCAACCTGATCTCAGACTTCTAAACTCCAAAAATAAATTTCTGCAGTCTATGGTATTTTGTTATAGCAATTGAAGCAGACTAAGATACATGCTAACCAGATAAAATCTTACGCCTAGAGAGAAACTTAAATACAATTTATACAATTAAAAATATTATAAAACCAGCAGTGAAATTTCAGAGGAAGCATCCTAAAATAAAGACAACTAAGGCTCAAAGCACTTTTACAGTTAAATTACACTAAGAAAAGATACGCATCATGCTGTATGAGCTGGTACTCATGCCAAGAGTAATTTTCTGCTCCAGTTGAGAGACCAAGTCCTCAGGCTTGCCATGTCAGGCACACAAGAGGGAAGTAAAAAACAGAGATAAAGAAAAACAAATATTTTAAGAATGAAGGTTCTTAAGTATTAAGTGTCAAATGAAAATATTTAGATGACTGAAGTATTTATCTAAGAAACAGAAACTATAGTTGCAAAATCACTATAAAATGCACCTTAAAAAACTGTTTCCTAATGACAGCACTCACAAATACACAATTCAGTAAATTTTAGAACTGTATCGGTTTTATAAAGTAATTTTGTAAATCTGACCTATTAGGTAGATAAAAGAGATTAAAAATAATCTCTTTTAAAAAACTTTGGTTTTACTTTTTTCCAAGATTTCATTTAATCAATCTTAAGAATGTCCTCTCTAGGGCATATGGCGGACTGCTATTGACCCCAACCTTTTCCCCTTAATTATAGAACTCAGATTTCTAGCAGGACACATGTGCTTGAAATAAAGGACAAAATTTGCTATTATATTTAGCCACATAAATATCTTCCAGTCAAAGGAAAGTATGAGAAAGTATTTTGTGAAAGAGTTTACAAAACTCTTATTTACTATTCTGCCTGTCCAGAATATGATGCAATGGCTGGAACTCCAGTAGCCACCTTGGACAAAGAGGTTACATTGAAAATATGAGCTATTACAAACCCTTTTCAGTGGATCAATGTAAATTTTAGTATAAAATAGCTGATCGTCATCATTATCCTGTAGATTCCACTGTTGAACTATACGGTTGATATATGGAGCATAACCAATAAATCCTGCAATACAACAGAGACAGAATAGAGAATTCAGTATTCCAAGACCAAAGCTCACATCTGAGTTAATTCCATTGATCTGTTGCACACTTATAAAGCCATTAGGAAATACCTTAGGCTGAAACTTCACAACTCGCCATGAAAGAAATGAGTTATCGAGAGTCCTTTGTTTTATATATAAATTATAATAGAGTAAATTTTACTACCAATTGCAAATCAAAGACTCTTTGAATAAACACATTCACCTCCAAAAAAAAAAAAAAAAAAACAAGAGCAGGAACTAATGTTTTCCAAGGCTCCTAAGGGAAAAAGAATTACTAGGAAAAGAATAGAATAAGAAAGAATTTTCTTTCTGACCTTCTAAAATGCTCTTCTTGGATCCTTTATAGAGGATTCACTATTTCTGAAAAAAGAAAATCTCCACTCCAGTGGTTTTAACGTCAGTGCCAGAGATGCTAACACAGTCAAAGGAATGTTGGATTTGTCACTAACTGCAAACATCCCAAAGAAATTTTATATCTAGGACATTTGAGGAATTTTTTTTTTTCCTTTACTTGAGCTAGTCATTATTGTACCTGCTAAACCATTCTCTGGCTAGATTTTGTGTGTCACAGTCTGGAGAAAGGAAGTCTAAAATTGGATTGTTCCCTTGGCTTAGAGCATAAGCATTAAATTTGCCAGTAACAGTTGTCTGTAAAACACACAGACAACAGAGACATTTTTCACTTGTTTGAGTCTTCCTCTGAGTGTCAGAAATGCAGCCAAGCTGCTATGTTTCATTGATATGCAATAGTTTTTAAAAGGGACCAGTTTTCCTCATGTGAATTAAAAGGCAGCCAAATTTTTTATCCTCAAAATTAAAATTTCCTCCTAAGAATAAAAGAACTAAAAGAAATAGGTCCAAGAATATTACTGTTAACTACAGAAAACAAGATAAAATAAAAACATGGCTAAATTGATTACTGGTTGTTCATAGTTGTTATTTTTGCCAAACTACTTAAGACACTGAAAAATAATGCAATTTTTAATCCTATAACCAATCTTCTATGATAAAAAATACATGCAAGCAGACCATGACATTTTCAATGTTTATATTTGTTTTTCAAAATTTATATTTCCATTTTTTTATAAATCACAAACATACTGGGAAAATGACAAGGAATTACAGTTGACCTTTGAACAACTTGGGTTTGAACTACTTGGGTCCACTCAGATGTGAATTTTCTTTAATAAATATACAGTTAGCCCTCCATATTCCTGGGTTTCCTTATCTATGGATTCAACCAGCTGCAGATTAAAAACAGTATTTTCGATCTAAGGTTGGGAATCCATGGATGCAAAGGGCCAACTGTATGTATTTTTTATGCCATTTTATATAAGGGACTTGAGCATCCACACATTTTTGCTACCTGCAGAGGTCCTGGAACCAATCTCCCTGGGATACCAAGGGACTACTGAAGTTTTGGAGGAGAGCCAAAATTTATACATGAAATTTTGACACACTTTTCTGCTAGTATCTTACCCACCTCCCGAATTCAGGTAGCGTTTCCCAATGTGCACAATGGGATACTTGTCTGCTAGTCTTTTATCTGGCCACAGAATTCCATCAGCTGCAAAGACCACTTTATGGTTTGACTTTTGGAACTTTTTTAGAACTTCTTCTGGACCACCAGCAAATATGACATCAAAGCTGTTTAGTGAGGGGGAAAAAAAGTTTTAAAATATTCTTCTCAGAATTAATACACAGAAACCAAGAAACGGCCTCTAGTAAAAGTCAGAATTTAGAATCTAACACAAGATTAATACCAATTATTTACAAACTACGCCAAGCAATTATATGGATCATATTAAATTATTAGTGTTTGCATTACATTGGCAAATGAGGTCCAAATAAAAAAGGATTTTTTAGTACTAGTCTTAATATTTTTTCAATAATCACTGATTCCCCAAAATCAAAATTCTAAAACAGTGTTGAAATGCTTAAAAGGTACTAACTTATTATCTAATAATAATATAGACACAATCATTGACAGAAGTGGCCATTGTAACTGCCTAATGTTTCACTTTAATTTGTACCAATCCATTACAATTTATGAAGATTTCATTATCTTGAAAAAACGTGTCCAACTACTTAGTGTTATCTATATTTATATTTTAAATTTATATTTTAATCACTATTTAGCCTGAAAGCCTAAAATAAAGTATACAGATAAGTGCATCTTTTTAAAGCTCAAATAATTTGAAAAAAATTATATAAAAATTGACACCATGCTTTAGTGTCTATAGTTTCACTGATTTTTCTGGAAACTTTATTCCCATAGTCTATTTAAAGAATCACAATAACTTAACAAAATATGAAACATACCTAATATATTTGCACTCTACAATAAGTTCTCTATTCCTGCTACAACCAGAGACCCTTTTGAATCTTTTTCCTTTTCCTTTTTTTTTTTTAACATCAGAGTACTTCAAAGGCCAAAGGTTTCCAGAGATAATAATTTAAATGTCTTAACATCCCAAGTAACAAACAATAAGAGCAAACTAATGCTCTAGAGTTCAACACCAGGTCTCCCTCAAGTCAATAGTTCAGATGCACTGCTATGCATCTGAGTAGAGGAGTAAGGAGGCTACTCCACATGCCTTTCCCAGCCAGACTTGCTCTCAGGTAGCATAAATGGAAAAGATCATTTCCTTCCTCTTAATTCTCACAGCTCTTTTCCTCTCCCTTTTCATGGAATGTCTTATTTTCTGCTTTTCATGCTGGAAGTGCCTCTTATATCAGACTGTATGTTTTTCTTTCATATGCCAGATCGTGTTTTTACTCATCTGTGTACTCCCCTAAGCCTTGTATTCTTAAGATTGTCAATAAATACTTGTTGAATGAATGAATGAATGAATGAATGATCCCAAGTCTCCACAAGAAGCAAATGTTACTTGGTATCCAAAAAATAAGCAACGTAAGTGTTCCCTAATCCTCTTTATTTGTTCCTCCCCAATACAATACTTTCTTCATCACTGACATAAATTTAAGCTAATATTAGTGGCTAGTGTCTGAAAGTTTAAAGTCTGATAATACTGAAGCATGTAAGTAGCAACATACCTAATAATTCTGTCTTCAATCACGTCTTCATCTTAAATATATATCTATATTTCTATAGATAATTAATACCATAAACAATGATAAAACCACCCCATAACCTCTCCCCCGCTCCAAAAAAAAATCAGTTGAAAATGTCCGCTCAGTTGAACTTGTAGACTAAATCATAATGAAATCATAGTGGAAATGATTAAATTTATTGTAGGAATTTTGGGAGGGAAAAATTAGCTTGTATAAAGTAGGTACTATTTTTAACATGAAATATTACTTGGAGATTTTCCTCCAAATGGAATACAATTTTATTTCCTGACTAAAGAATTCTTACTGGGGCTGGGGAGAGGTATGAGTAAACGAGGACAGGGCCTGGCTGGAGGGTCGTTTTCTCCAGACTGACTTCTGAGAGTGGCCTAGTGCTAGAGTAACAGCTATAGAGAGGGCAGCTAAGAAGAGAATGGTAGGAAAACATCATACTGCTCAAGTTGCTTGCTATCTATGGGACCATGAGTCATCACCACTTGCTGTTTCTGCGTTGATTCCTTTAATTTTTAAGTAAATGGTTAATAGATGGTTAAGTAATGAAAACCTCCCTTTAGTTTTAAAACAATAGTTAAATTTAATCTCTGCAACATTAGTACTTTCAAATCTGACATATTTACTGCACAAGTATTCACTGTCAATGAAGAAATAAAGAAACCTATATTTTTAATGCCTAGAATTTATTATTATGTAGCTAGAACATGTCAGATACAACATATAAAACTTATGAATAGAAAAATGTATCCAGAGGGCAAGGTTTATGTCCCAGCCAGCAGCTAGTACCATATTTTGCAGTTAAAACATGTTTAATCCATGTTTATTCAAACAAACTCAAGGAGTAAACAATCTGGTCTTGGGAGAAAAGAAAAAATATATATATATATATATATATACACACACACACACACACACATAAAATAGACAAATGTCATACGAGTACCATATACCAATCCAGATATACATAAACACTCAATGCTTCTTTTGCATACAATCTGCTTCTTCCTCATTCCAACATACCCACTAATATATTCAGTAAATATCAATAAGAACATGTGAACAATTTGAAAAAATAAGTCACTCATTTCCTACATAATTTCTAAACATATTTCACTATTCTAGATAAGCCAGAAGGCAGTGCAATATATTTAAGTGACAGCGAATGACTCAATCTTTCCTTCAAAAAAAGGAAAAAGCAGTATAGAAACAGAACTTTGACGTGTTTTGGCTTTCATTATCCTAACATAATGAAATGTTGTTCGTCGCCAATAACAAGATTCTTTGTGTCTATTCACTTAAATTGACATTACTGCTAGGATGGAGGAGTCCATCAAAAAAATCTGCCATAGTTAGTTAAAATTATAGCAATCATACTTGAAAAGCTTTGCTTTCAGAAAAATTTTACAGTCTTCTGTATAAACTATGTAAGATGATATAAAATGCAGGCATAGTGGATATGTAACCTAAATTATGAGAGGCATGAAATATTTCCTAGAATAAAATAAGATAGAATTTGGTCACCTGTAGGATTAATACATATAAATCATACTTGTGACAATAACAAAATAATAAAAATATTTTCACAATTAGCAAAATGATCTAATAAAGCAATCTTACACAATTTTCTAAAAGTAAATGATTCTGTGATTATGCTAGCATTTGAATTTTTTGAAGACATGTATTTTTCTTCCAAATTAGTTTTTTTCAGTTTTGTTTGTAGAATTAGTATAACTTGAGAATTCTTTCAGGATGGGACCTTTGTTTATCTCTTTTTTCTGTAGTAATAAGTTTGATGCCTGGAACAGAGTTTGTACTCAAGACACATATCCTGAATGCAAAGTGAAAAATCTGTTCAGTGATCTCACTTTTCAGCAAAATATTTAATTAGCAGCCAAAAGAAACAAACATTGGCTGACATATGAAAGATCAGAACCCACAGCATCACTTCTCATAATTTCTAATCTAAATTCAATCTTTTAATAATTTCAATCTTTGAGATTTAGAAAATTTATATGTTTTCCTGTCTTTGTAAGTCATTTTGTTTCTCTGAATTAAGAAATAAAAACAATCTTTAAAAATAGTTTCAAAGCAACCACCTTATTTCTCTCTCTTGAAAGATCTGTTTCTCCCTCTTTTAATGCAATTTACTGTTACCTAATATTTATTGATTCCTTGCTATTTACCCTGACGATATGTATGTAAATTAGGTACATTCCCAGCTTCACTGTCTGAAACATACAATTACAATTCAATTTGATATCTGAATAGAAGCTAGCAATATACAGTCAAAATGATAAGGCATAATATACCAACAGCAAAGATTTGTGTGACTAAGATTATCCCTCAATTTTCAGCCAGCGTTTATTTACCCTGGATCAATCTCCCAGACCAGAGCCATCTAGAAAACTACTACAATAATGGCTTTATTTTATACTCATTTTAATTCTACATCACCTTTTGTATTAAAACACTGACTACCATCCTAGTTTTTTAAGCTGTCACCCTTACTGCTATCATTAGTTATTACAGCAATAGCCTATAAATTACAAAGTCAATTCCTTTACCTTACTTCAAAGTTACACAGTTGATCATCTTTAAACGAATACTTAAAGAAACCATGTCCACATACCAAAATCCTTGGGTAGATAGATATTTTCATATAAGAAATACTCCTTTTGGTGAGGCTAATAAACACCACTGAATATGTCTTTCAAATATTTCATATATTGGGAGTCTTTCAAAATGGAGCATATCAGTATTCTGATTAATGGCACAATATTTACTGCTGCCAAAAAGTATAAATGTCTGCTCAGTAAAAATTCATACTCAAATAATTGTACCAACTTTATTTCTAACACTTTTCTGCTAAAGAATTTTCTTAAGTCTAAAAGAAGAAAAAAACAATTAACCAAAGTGATTTTAGACACTTATCTGATACCTAAAAGGATGCTTATTTTAGGATCTGGACTCTGCTGGTTTATATTTTACTGTACTCAGCATAGAGTAAGTTTGTGGGGATATTTAGTATGTATATAATTTACTTACAATTACTCAAACACTTCTTTTTACATATTGGCCTACATATAATTTTTTAAAAAATAACTATATGATAATAATTGGGTCTTACTGTCTTCAGTATGACTAAAGAAACACATGCTTTACAAGGTAATTCTAAAAGTAATACAAAGTACCTTATTATAAAACCCAAGATACTCAGTTACCTTGTTTAAAATTGTTTAAACAAATATTTATTTTAACAAATGAAATTGTCTCCAAATTAATTCACAAAAGCCTATTTAAATGAGAGCAAGGGATCACTTTGGAGTATTGAAAATGTTCTAAAATTGAGTAGCAATGATAATTTCACAACTCTGTAAATTTACTAAAAATTGAATTTTGCAATTAAAATGAGTATATGTCATGGTATAAAAATTATACCTTCATAAAGCTATTTTTAAAAGAAGGCTATCTAACCCATTAGGTACATAAATCTTTGTATTTTTTAAATATAGTAGTGACCTATACTTCCATAAAACTAATTATTACAGTTAAATTGTCCTTTAAAAAAATCACATAAGAAATAGTAGTTTGTTTGATTCATTAAAATTAATATATTCTGAATTCTAGCCTCAACCAGATGTAAGTTTAATTAGATTAGCAATTTTGTTATAGAATGGGTATCCTATTTCAAATAATTTAGAAACAGCTTAATTCATTTCTCTGTAATTGTTAACTATATTGATCATTCTGTACACATACTTTTTTAAAAGATTGTTTAAAAAAATAAGCTCTAAAGTGGCATCAATTGTCCATCTCTCTTTTGCTTGGTTACTTTCTTATCATCCCTAGGTTTTCCAGGACAGACAAGATGGGTAGTGATAAAGAAAATGTTAATGATTCTTCTTAGACAACAGCTTGGCTAAAACGGGCCTGCATGTATTCAGTTAGCCAACTGTTCTCAGAGGCAGTTACCGAAAATTTTCTTTTTGCTTCACTGATATATTCCAAACACTAAAAAGCACCTGGCACATACTGGGTCCTCCATTAAAATTTTATTGTCATCTTTTTTGTCAAACTGGGTATTAAAGTATCATCTAAATAAATAAATGTAACCTCAAGCAGTCTTCAGGTATCTCACAGTGTCCTTTTCCTCATTAGAAACAAAGGCTCCTTGTGGGGAGCTAAAGCTCCCCAAATTCAAAAGAGTGCATGGTTTATCTCCGGAGGCCTGCTTGCATAGAAAAGAAAAGGCTGGTTCTGTGGAATTTCAGGAAGAAGAAGATTAAGTATAGCCTAAGGGAGTGTCGAAGGGAGTGTTAATTGAAGTGTCAATTGCACCTCCATCTTCAGGATGTTACTTTTGTGTTGTTTTGGGATACACAGAGGAACAGATTGTGTTTAAAAGGAGGAGAAGAAATAAACTCGGGGAGGCAGTGTGAGATCTGTTCTCCCTCCTGCACCCTGTCTGTCTTCTCTTTTTCCTCAGTCCCCGCTCCCCCATTCAGGTACCCGGTTTGACTTGGTCGGCTGGCTTCCGACAGCTCCTATTAAACTAGTTTCTTCTGAGGCTAAATCTTAGATGAGAGTGATAGGAGAGGAAATGGGATAGGAGGGTAAAGGCAGAGAGAAAGGATTTCTTCTTAAATGCAAAAGGAAGCTTGAAAATCTAAAATAATTACTGGCTTATAATGGTATCTTTTACAAGGAGATCTGCCTCAAGGTCAAAATCAAAATGTACACTTGGCAAATTTAAGCGAAATGGTTGTTTGAAATCCATAGTAATTTTACACCAAAACACACTCAATATTTAACCCAAACAGTTATTATAACCTTCCTATTCTTTTACCAAGGGTAAAAAAATACATAATAGATTCTGTAGAAAAATTCCCAATACATAAGCTAACACCAGCTATACCGCATCTCATGTTGCAAGAATAGGTAGCTATAAGCATAACTTAATGTTTTTTCCCTAGGAGATATTAGGGACGTTCTCCAGATGTAAGAATATGGGCCCTTTCAATACTTTTAAGTGTTAAGGGCACCAGGAATTCATTATGTCTATTTTCATTTCGAAATTTATACCTTTGTTGTTTACACATTTGCATAAAAAGAATTAGTCTTACTTTCACCTGCAATAATTTGTTATTTTGAATTTTTAAATTAAGGGAGAGATATAAAAAAAACTTTTCTAAGCTAGAGAGGAAAATGCAAGGGGATTTCAAATCAGCAATCAATGACTAACCCATAACAATAAAAAACAGAGAAAATGAAGAAGGTGGCAATCACTAATGATTCATGACAACTTGACACTACTAAAAACATGTAAGAAGAATATGAAAAAGATAAAGAAAGACAGTGGACACTCAAAATTAAGTAGAAGGAAAGCAGTTTACAAAAAGAGATCTACACATTGGAAAGATTTTTCATTTTTCATAAACACAGGCTTTCTTATTTCTCACTTACAACTTTACATGATCTATTTCCTCCAGGTTGACCAGAATCCCTTGAGTTACTCACCTCAATATAAAAGCTCAACATGATCCTTACTCCATCACTAAATCAAGATTAAAACATGAATTTCACAAAAATGTTAGTTTATGCCACGTTTTCTCACTAATGTTAATGGTAACTCAACAAATCTGATCATATTACATAACTATGTCAGACTATGGTTTTATAATTATAAGTAAAATTTACTTTTTAAAACAATGACTCTTTGTGAATAAAATAATTAAATATGTAATCTACACATACGAATTTCAACTTTTTAAAAAATTATTTAATATAGACTTAAACATCCACAGGCTATTTTTCTTACCATTCAGTAAACAAGACAACCAGATCCTCTTGACTGGCATAATGTTCCATAACTTCTTTCATTAATCTGACTTTCTGGCCACCTCCAATACTATTAATTCCATCACCACCTCTCCACTCTTCTCCTTGACCAAGGACCTATCAATGAAATCAACATTTCATTCCTGAGCAAAATTCAAATAATGATAGTACCATAAAAACTGAAAGTCATCAGCAACTTGCATAGTATTACACAGTAACTACTCTTTAAACATTTCACTAAATCATGATACTAGAAAGAAAACAACTTTATGCCTAGGTCAGGTCACAATTCTTCAATGTTATCTACCCCATAAATGCCATTCCCAATTTTACCATTTCAAAAGTAGAGTATAATCTTGGAGTGGGGGGTGGCGACGTGCGGGGAGGGGAGGCACAGAAAGCATTTCTCATATTTGATTTCTGTTTGTTCAGATTAAAAAGAAAATGAAGGAAGTTTCCATAACACTCTTTGATCTGGCAAGAAATCTGTATGATGAACACTAAAAGCCCTTGAAGCTCAGTGACTCCTGACAGGCCCTTAAGCAATTTTCCTACTGAACGAAAATGGGTTGTTCAGGGAAACACAGATGGCATCAAGACAAACGTAATCTTCTTTACCTTATACATTACCTTCAAAAGCTTAATTGTAATTCATAAATGCAAGAAATTGTCTAAGTACAATTAATCAGAACTAAACTTGGAACTGTTCTTATCTCTGTTGGCCTTCACCTCAGCAGCAGTCTCCTGAATTAAAAGCGCATGCTGACGCAGCTGGCTCTGAGGGAGTAGGGAGTATATGTTTTCCTCATCTGAACATACATCTAGTATCTTTGTTTCATGAAAAAAAGTCTGAAGATCCCAAAATAATGATATGCTAGATCTATGAAATTAAAGGGGAATGAAATTTAAAATAAATACAAAAGGATAAAATAAATTTAGAAAATATTATTAGCTCCAATTTTACTTAACATTGAGCCAAATATAAACCTGGCTGGCAAAGCCCATGGGGCTCCCAGCCTCAGTTCTCTAGTTAGCACTTCATTATTACCTATATTGAAGGTTGGAAGAAAAAGGCTAACCAAGAAAACTAAACTGATGTGGATCTGGATTCATATCCATGTTAATTTAGTAGATATTTTTGCTTTAAAAGTGGCCACCTCTGGTCCTGAAGTTTATTACACTTCTATTCTGCAACGCTTCTGGACTTCTTCAATACTGCAGTAATACAGGGCCCAACTACATCTGAGAGCCTCTCTGTACAGTGCACTATAAAGAGAGTCTTGAGTCTCTATTTTTGTTCCACTAAATCAGTGTGTAAAACTTGAGCTTGCATCTGAATCACATGAAGGGCTTATTAAAATACAGACTGCTGAGTCCTGCTCCCAGAGTTTGTGATTCAGTAGGTCTGAAGTGAGGCCTGAGAATCTTCATTTTTTATTTCCCAAATGATGCTGATTCTAGTGGTCTGGGGTGCACACTTTGACAACCAACCACTGAATTTCACAACGGGAAGACAGCAGGAGGATCAAAGACTCCAATCAAACAGGACTGGGTCTCAGATTTGACACTTTATAGCTCTGTACCCTCATGCATAAACAAAGTAGTACCTACTTTACATAGTTAATATAATGAATCGACACCATAGTATATATAAAGTTTCTAACATGGTGCCTTGCACATAAAAAACATTCCACGCTTTCTCCAGTCTGAACCCTGACGATCTCATTCATTGAATTTCAGCATTATTTCACACTGATTTTTCTGTTACTTCCATTGTGCCTCCTATCAAAGCATACTACTATATTTCTCCTCTATTCTAACAAATTTCTAACATATTTTTCATTTACCCTGAATTAAACATCCAGTTGTTAACACTAGATCTCTTTTCCACCAAAGTTTAGTCTTTCTAATACCTGTTCTATATTTCAGTGGTAGCAAAAACCACCTTCTTTCTATACTGCATACTGGAACAGCTCAGTTTTTCCTGGACAATACAATGCTGCCTCTTTAAGGGTTTTGTTTTTGTTTTTGTTTTTTGTAAATGTATTAATTTGTTTGTTTGTTTTCCTATCTGAGATTCCTCCACCATTCTCATTTATGGAAAAGATCTGGCTGGCAGATACTCATTTCTACTTTAAAAAATTAAATAAGTAAAAAACAAGAACAAAAAGGCCTTTCACAGCTCAGTTTCCTAGTTCTAACAAATTCCTCACCTCTGCTCTGATCATGTGTTAATGAGAAATTCCCCTGGAGGCAAGTCTTCTAAAACCTTTTTACATTTTTATAATATTCCAGAATCTCTTTAAAACAAACCAAAAAAACAGGAAAAGCAACTCTCCATAATGGGACAGAAAAGGTATCCCCTTCAGTCATGTTTCCAATACTTTGTAAACAAAGAAACACACTATGGCAGACAAACCCATTACAATAGTAAGTGAAAACAATTACTATCGAATCTTAGTTATGTGGTGCTTATATATGACCCTGGCAAAAGAAATATAAATATAAAAATATATAAGCATATTCTTCTTTTTTATAGACATGTTTATATAGAGCATTAGCAAGTATCAAGAAATTATTGTTTGAGTGGGAGTATTAATAAGGCCAAATGTATCTTTAAAACAATCGAGTATTTTAAACAAATTAAGTATATATAAGCAGCAATTGTGTAGCCAAATTTCATCTTTCTGGGGATTGTAGATTGTGTCGCTGTTATTGTTGTTATAAAAAATGTACTTAAGCACTTCTTTTTTTTTTTAGGTGAGGCAACTCTTGGTTGACCTTACAGATTGCAAGGATCTTATCAGTTTACAATCTCTTTTTTTTTTTTTTAAACCTGATCTTCCTGGATAATCTCACATCCAAGTACTAACTAGGCCCAACCCTGCTTAACTTCTGAGAACAGACAAGACTGGGCTTGTTCAAGGTGGCGTAGACTTATCATCTCCATGAATTAAAAGATATACATACCATACCTTCACAGTATAATTGAAGTATTGGGCTGACTGCATAAATCGATGGAATCCATCACTTTCTTTTGTTGCTACAGTTATGACTAATAATTTATCTGCAAAGACAGAAGGAAATAACATAAGATAGTTTACCAAGAAGTTAAATGTTACCAATTTACAACTCACTCCGGTAATTAGATATCTCATTAAACCCTTGGGAATGCGCTCGTTTATTAATCTACATGAGGCTAAACAAAGCTTTTTTATTGCCAAATGATGAACCATCAAATAATTATTTATTTTAATGGTAAGAAAGTACATTAATATTTCTGGCAAAAGCATGCCCTCCACAGAGAATTTCAACACTATGAGAAACACTTCCATAAAATACACAAAGTTTTTATCTGTAGAGACAGACTCTCCTAGGGATTATCTATCTAATAATCAACCAGTTCCACTGCAACCTATAAATCATCACTGATTTATTACACATATCAGTGAGGTCTGGAAGCACATTATATTACTCAAAACACTAAGAAGTACAAAAAAGAAAAAAATCCAATCATGAGACTAATCTTAATTTTTTTAAATAAATTATGATAAATTGGGAACAAATATTTAAAAACAGAATCTTTTTTCCCCCTATTAATGATTTTTTTGTATATGAAAAGCCTGTAAAAACGACATTTACATCACCTTCAGTGTTTTTTCTTTAAAGAATAAAAGGAACCAAAATTAGCACTCCTAGTAAATACACAGCTTTTAGTCACCATTTTTATATTGTATTATTATTTTCAATCCAACATAACCCTCTTTAGTAGAAGTAGAAATAGATAGATTTAAGGAGTCATTTCAAAATACCTACAGAAGCTATTAAAGAAAATGCTTATTTGGAAAAGATGTTACAAAATGCATGAAAGAAACAACTGCATCAGCAAATGCCCACAACGATGGGACATTTTTTTTTTTAATCTGAGGATATAGGAGGACAGTGGACTAAGAATAACTAACATCTTTTTGACATTCTAGGCATTGGCACTGAGCTATATCATTTGATACTCACCTGCCTGTTATCAATAGGAAAAAATTCAGATTTTAAGTGCCGCCGAAGCAACAGATAATCATTGAAAATAGCATTATGTATTACCAATTAAAACAAATTTCTTAGGACCCAAGGTATTCACCAAATTTTGAATATAATTGAAACCATAAAACATAAATAAGTAAAATATACATATAAAGAAGTAATAAATTCAAATATTCATTAGTCATGAAGATAAATATGAAGATAAAAATGAAGATAAATATCAACATTCTTAATTTTTTTTCTGTTAAGAGGCATTTCTCACATATTATTCAGCATTATGAGAAATAAATATTCAGGAAAAAATAAGTCATTTTTATAAAGTTGTCAGGCCCCAAGTAAATATATTTTAAGAGTATTTTTTCAATTAACTATTCTTTTTTATTTAAAAAGTTTTGTTTTAATGTCTAAAATAGTGCTTAACTGATTAAGAAAATCTGACATGTTACCATTCACAAAAAAAATTTTGAAATAGTGAATAGAGATTTTATTTTACAAGAGTAAAGAACATGCTTTTTAAAGTCTCTTTTCTGTGTAATAAAATGACCATTTTAAGGTAGTTTTCTTAACTTTTCTTACATAAATCATAAGAATTAGCTATAGCAAAACTAAAAATGTGTGGTCTGGCAATCTTATGCAAAATGAGGAAGAACTGTTGTTACTAATTACAAAAAAGAAAATAATACTGTTAAATGAAGGTATGTTTAATAACATTCTTTACAAACACCTGATTCCTCTCACCTGCTAATAAGTATCATTACTTTGATTGTAATGAGAAAGATCTTACTCAGTAGGGGAAGTAGAAGAAAGTGCTAACATGTACCACTCACAATCACTCACCACCCAATTCAAGACTCCAATCTGCTCACCATTTATGAAGTGCTGTCAAAAATTTTAACCTAACTTTGATACATACTTTAGATTTCACTAAATTTTGCAATACAAATTTACTCAAAAAGACAAGATAATTGACCCAAATAATCAATAGCAAATGTGAATAAAGGGAAGGGAAATTGTTATATTAGCAGAATTAAGAGACAATTCAACCAAAAGTAAATCACGAACTTCAGCTGGGTCCCACTTTGAAAAACTACCTGCAAAAAGGTACTCATGATAAAATTAGAGAAACCTGAACACTAACTGGGTATTTGTTGATATTAAGAAGTTATCGTTAATTTTCAGCATGGTAATGACACTGACTTTTTTAAAAAGAGTCCTTATAATTTAGAGACAGATACTGAAGTATTTACCCAATGAAAGGAAACTGTGTGTGTGATTTGTTTCAAAGTTATTTGGCAAAGATGGAAGGCAATAAAGGAAGAAGATAAAGATTAAATGAGACGGGCCATATGCGATGACTGTTAAAACTGGAGTCCTTTTGTATGTGTTTGGAAATTCCTACAATTAAAAAAAATTCAACTTTATGCACAATTCTTAATCCTCTAATCAGAAAAATGACAGAAAAATATTCAATATAACTTTAACAGTCTAAATTATCTAAGTAAAAAGAAAGATGAAACAGAATGCAGAATTTTCTAACCAAACAAAATTATAATTTAAACGATTATACTTAGTTCTTTATCCAATTTTTTCATCCACAACTGAAATGATAAAGTAAAATGATAGAGTAAATGGGCTTAAATAACGGGCACCCATCAAACATGATCAAAACTAATCTATTATGGTGTCAACGAAAAAGCAAATGAAGGTCAACTGCGGCTAAATGTAACCTCCATAGCCATTGTCTGACTATTAGAAAATAGATTAATACTTTGCATTAAGAAGAAACATGTAATGCATCTAGGGTGTTGTAGGTTAGACCATTTATTGATGAAAATCACATCACAGAAAAAAAAAAAAAATTCTGCAATCACCTTTACACGGTCCTGGAAAATGCCTATCAGTATAGTAAGATTTTAAAAATAGTGAAGTGGCTAAAGAGTTAGCTCTCTACAAAAATTCAGATGAATATCAGAATTTCTCCAAAATTCAAGAAGTCAATCTATTTAGAAAGATCAAAACATCTATGTCTCTCATTGTGAAACAGCCAATATTTTTCTCCCAACAGTTGTTTATGTAAGAGTAGAATTTATCAATAGTGCTGACCTTTTGTTTTCTTTCAAAAACAAACCATGGGTTTAAAAGCCAAATTTTTTTTTTTTTTTAAATATAGCCTATCTCCAAATGCTAAAGCAGCACATAAGAACCACCTGAAATTTATTATCTTAATGACAAGCATTTTATTAAGTAACTCAGCACTAGCTCAGCTGCCTTTGCTCCCATTCCTGAGGGATAAATCTCCCATCTTTCCAAGAAACTTTCTCTACATCGAGCAGGGTTCCCCAAACCCTGGCCCACAGACCGGTACCAGTTTGTGGCCTGTTAGGAATCAGGCCACACAGCAGCAGGTGACCAGCAAGCAAGCAAGCAAAGCTTCATCTGTGTTTGCAGCCGCTCCCCAGTGCTAGCATCACCGCCTCAGCTCCACCTCAGATCATTGAGCATTAGATTCTCATTGGACCACTGGTCTCTGGTGCCAAAAAGGTTGGTGACTGCTGAGTCATAGTTAAACCAGTCCCTAATTATAAATTTGTAAATACCAACAAAAACAATTCTACCACAGGAACTCTAAGTACATTGTTCTCTCTCTGCAACTCCCTCATTTTATGACCAGACATGTCCTTTATCTGTAAACATCAGTAGCTCTTAACTTTTACTGAAGGAACGTGGTTTTTTATGATTAGTAAAGTCCAGAAGCCAACATACTGGCTGTAAAAGGAAGAATCATAAATATTTTAGGCTTTGTGGGCCACTTACAATCTGTTATAATTCTCCTTTTTTCTTTCTTCATCTTTTAAATACTTTAAAACCGTAAAAAGATTTTTTTTTTTTTTTTTTTAAGTTTTCTGGCTCTCCATATAAGAACAGGCATGGGCCAGATCAGCTCTCATGTCACAGTTTGCTACTGTGGTAGGCTGTGTAAATCTGAAGACAAATTATTTCAGTTTAAATGTCAGCTCTACCATTTATTATTTTTTTAGAAATTGGTCAGTTACTTGAACTTTGCGCCTCATCTATTTCTCTAATCTTTAATATGTGTGTAATAATAGCACCTACCTGAAAAGTTTGCTGCGAGGGTTAAATTAGTTAACATATACAAAGTGGCTAATACACTATAAGTTCTACATATGTAGTAAAGAGCATCTTCTTATATCTTTCTCTTTATTTCTACTCAACAGATGCATGGAAAGGTAGGTTGTAATTGTGAAAATTTCAGCAGGTTATAACGCCATCTCTTTCTCTACCAGAGTCAAACACTCAAGAATCTGATATCTCTTCAAACTCTCAATATTTTATGATACCAGTAATGGAAGAAAAAAAAGCTATGTAAAAAGTTCAATTTGAAGCTGTTCATTCACATAATTTAGGAAGTAACCTTAGAGACACCTTCTAAAACCTTTACATTTTTCTTCAATTGCAAGCAAGCTATATAACAGTCAAAAATTATGATAATCATTAGCACAGGCTTCTGCAATAGCCTCCTAAACTTGTTTTACCCACTCCAATAATATCTCTTCAAAGTAGCCAGACTGGTGTTTTCAAATAGAAGTAATTATGATAGAGTAATCAAGAACCTCAATGTGGTTCTTGATTACTTCTATCCTCTCCAATCCTATCCACTACCTCTCTCTCCTTTGCTCTCTTCTCCAACCACACTGGCCTTTTTTTTTCCCCCAACGATGCCTGCTCCCTCCCACCAGAAGAAAAGAGCCTATGCAAGACCATTATCTAACGTCCCTCCTAATGTCTTGATGTAGTTACTGCCTACTCAATTTGAGAGTCTCACATATGTCATTTCCTCAGGGAGACCTTCCTGACCTTTCACATATAATAATAGGTCAGGACTCATCATATATGTTCACTGCACTCTTTATCTCTCTTTCAGTATATTGTATATTAATTTGCATGGTTATTATTTGAGAGTAAAATCTCTCTTCCCCCAACAAAACTATAAATTACAGAAAGACAGGA